TACCACTTGAGCCACAGTGCCACTTCTGGCTTTTTTCTTTTTGCTTATGTGGTGCTGAGGAATCGAACCCAGGGCCTCAGGCATGCAAGGCAAGCAAGCGCTTTACCACTGAGCCACCTTCCCAGCCCCCATGTGAGATTCTTAACTCTAATAAACTACCCAGGAAAAAATCAGGAAGTAATACTGTGCCTCAAGTAGTAGAGTGCGAGCCTTGAGCCAAAGAAGCTCAGGGTCAGTGCCCAGGCCCTGAATCAAGCAAGCCTCATGACCAGCCGGTCCACACACACACACACAAAAGATCTGTTTCAGTGATTCTCAACATTGAGTATCAAAATTGCTTTGTGAGTTTTAAGTTTTTTATTTTATTTAAAAATGTACACAGAGAGCTTCTGTGCTCTTATCTTTTGTGGGGGAGGGGGCTGGGGTCCGGTTGTGGGGCCTGAACTCTGGGCCTGGGTGCTGTCCCTCAGTTCTTCAGCTCAAGGCTAGCGCTCTACCACTTGAGCCACAGCGCCACTTCCGGCTTTTTTTTTTTTGCCTATGTGGTGCTGAGGAGTCAAACCCAGGGCCTCATGCATGCAAGGCAAGCGCTCTACCACTGAGCCACTTCCCAGCCCTCTATGCTCTATCTTAACTATATAGCAATAATTTTTTCTCCTTAGCTATATAAGCACCTAGACACTGGTGGTCATATTATAATCCAGTTACTCAGGAGAGATCTGAGGATCATGTGTAGATACACAGAGGCATTGCACCTTTGTGTTCCTCCCCCTTAGAGTATTTGAAATCATCTGGTGCAGCAAATTCTGTGAGACTCTATCTCCAATTAGCCAAATGCCAGACAGTCAAACCATTGTTGGTCCTAGAAACCCCATTCACCACTTTCCATTAAGTGATCACTCGATCACTATCCTGATCACCCTCCCTACCCCCTCTTTTTTCTTTTTTTGGTGGTACTAGTGTTTAAACACAGGGCTTTGCTCTTGATAGGCAGGTGTTCTACCACTTGAGCCTCTGCTACCAGCTCTCTTTTTTGCTTTAGTTATTTTTCAGG